GTGATATGAAGCAGTATATAAATGAAGTTGCTTTGCTTTGCTTTGCTTCTCTGTTAGAGAACTCTGGTACCATACCCGCTTTGCAGACGGTGCTTTGCACCGTCTTGGAGGTAAGGAAGGGGAAGCGCTCCTTCCAGGGCCCTAAAAGTGGCTACCTCGGCCCCAATCCGCGGCTTCTTGGGGCAGCCCATATCCACCCGTCTGCTTAGGGCAATAATGAACTATCATTCCCAGGATTCCCTAGCACCAAGCCAGGGCAGTTAAAGCAATCTCAAACTGTATTATTTCTGCTGTGTGTTTTGGACCTAAGAGGCATTACTTCTATCTGGAAAATACTTAATGCTGTATTTCTATATCCACCATTGCAGCCTTGATGAATGAGCAAAATTAAAGTATTAGTAAATCTTAAGCTTTAGCCCACACATGGATTATCCTAAAATAAACTTCTTCAAGGTATGTTGTTGCACAGATCTAAGTGTACTGACTGACCATCACTGTCCACCATAGAAGAACTTAGTATGGTGTACAGCCAAGGTAGATAACATGTGGACCTCCAGATGTTGTTTGACTGCAGCTCCCATCTGCCATAGCCAACTCACAATTGTGGGAAATTACCAGGTAAATAATAATAATAATAAAATTTATTTGTACCCCGCCCCTCTGAGAACAATCGGGGCAGCTAACAAAGTTAAAATACAAGACACATCACACACCCCAATACCCACCCACCCCTTAAAAAAATATTAAATCAATAGCACATTAAAAATCATAATCTAACAAGAAACGGAGGGCACCAACTGCCTATTTTTGCTCAACAGCCCAAATACTGTCCAATATCAGATATTTCAAAGGAGAATGAAAGAACAGTGTTATCATTGTTTAGATCCACTGTTCATTTGAAACCAGCTTAGGAACACCACTAATTACATCCATCAGTGGCAGAATGTACTGCTGACACATCAACATTTTTACTTTAATGACCTCCATAAATTATACTAAATTACAGGCTGTATTAGATCATTACCTTGACCTCATTAGTACTTAGTAAGAACCCATCACAAAAGGGTGAAACATATAACATATGAAACTAATAATGTGTAACATATTAGACAAGTTACTTGTTTTTCTAAGACATCTCTCTTCTAAAAAAAATAGAAGTGAAAAGGACAAACTTCATGCCACAATGATTAATGTTTACAATGAACTTTGGAACCATTGTTATCTTTCTTCTTCTTTCAAAGATTAGCCTGACCAGGACTTAGAAAGTCAGGTTTCACAACAAGTTTCTTTAAGTCTGTGCAATTTGATATGACATTAGAGTACAAAAGAACACAGAGCAGTAGCTACCCTGTAGTACAGCTGTAAGTGGCAACTAAAACTAGGATGAAATGTATGGTTATGTGTGTCTAAACAAGACATTTTATATTCAGAGGTTTAAGCTTAGCTGTACAATGCTTACAAGGGGACAATACCCAGCTAGAAAGAATGACACTGACATGCTACCTGCACAA